TTGCCTCCTCGTATGTGTGAAGTTGAGGTTTAATTGACATATTATCCACTAATTGGTCGGTGATTTTAACCAGGCAGGTAATGCAGTGATAATGTTAATTAACTAGTTAAAGGTAGTTAATCGCTGTTAACTTTGTCCGAGGAAGTGAAAATCGTCAATGTCAGCATTTTTGGGTTTGTTACAATTACAACATCACAGTAATTCCAGCAAAAAACTGTCCCTATTCACGCTTCCACTTTCGTCTCACTTTACGGAAGCACAGCTTCATACATTTTGCGGTCAGCATTACTAAAACATGGACCACAGTAGTCATCAGTGCTATTACATCCAGGCTGAAGTACTGGAACCAGTAGAGCTCACGGAGAGCCGATTTGACTTGCTTTGCTCCTTTATGCCGCATCACAAATTCTGACTCCCTCGGCCTTCCTCAGCGGTACCACGCAACAAGCATGGGGGCTTCCAGTGTTTTCCGACCGGGCTTGTTCAAGCATAAAGTTGCAATAGTGACGGGTGGAGGCACCGGGATCGGTAAAGCTATCTCTGCGGAGCTGCTGGAGCTGGGTGAGTGAGTTCTAATAGTTGTTGTAGCGCAAAGAGTCTGAAGTGAGGAGCAGCTGAGTGACAGCAAGTGAACTTCGACACAGTTACAAACAAGTCTGTAAGAGTCGCACCAGTGACCGCGGTCAAGTGCGCGCAGGGACACTGTGAAAGTGTGGCTGTGAGTGTTCGCTAACAGCTGGAAACACCAAACATCTGGTGGCTGCCAGTGTTGTTTCACAATAAAATGACTCGAAGCTTTATTTTGGAAAGTGCTGTAATTGTTTTTCGTGGCTCACTTGTTGGTCTTCAGGCTGCAGTGTGGTGATCTCCAGCAGAAAGGCAGACAGGCTGGAGGCAGCAGCTCGGGAGATGAGACAGAAAATCCCTCCCTCCAGTCCTGCAAGTGTCACTGCTCTGCCCTGTAACATCCGCAGCGAGGAGGAGGTGAGCAGCTCTGCATCTGCTGCTCGTTTCAGTGTGTAAGTGGCTGATTTTCTTTTTGTCTTTCTGTCATTTGAAGGTGAAGGCTCTTGTGTCATCAGTGCTGAAGCGGTATGGCCGTATAGACTTTCTGGTGAACAACGGAGGAGGTCAGTTCAGGAGCCCTGCAGAAGACATGTCCTCTAAGGGCTGGAAGGCTGTGGTAGACACCAACCTGACAGGAACCTTCCACTGCTGCAAGGAGGGTGAGCCGGGCACAGATAACACAGGCTTTGGTGTTTGTGGTTTGGTCTCTCAGCGTGACCGTCGTTGTTTTCCCCTCCAGTCTACACAGCATGGATGAAGGAGCACGGAGGCGCCATCGTCAGCATCATTGCCAACATGTGGAACGGCTTCCCAGACGCGGCGTGAGAACAGTTTCATTATTCACACACAAACCTGCAAAGTCACACAGTTAAAAACTAAAAGTAAATAAATAAATAAATAAAATATTGTATTGTATTATATTATATTTGCCTGTTGCGTGGTGTGTCTCCTCCTCCCCGACAGCCACACAGGAGCAGCGAGGGCAGCGGTGGATAACTTAACTAAGAGTCTCGCCATCGAGTGGGCAGCCTCGGGGGTCCGAATCAACGCTCTTGCACCTGTGCGTACAGCTCAGCATGTAATCAGTTTTGTTTCAGTTTTTCAAGATGCGCATGATTTTCATCTCTCTGTTTGGCTGCAGGGTAAAATCTTTTCCAAAACAGCGATGGAGAACTATAAAGGGAATAGACCAGATCTTTTCAAGATGTCCGTCCCATTCACTCCTTCGAAGAGGCTGGGAGTGCCCGAAGAGGTTTGTTAGAGAGAAAAAAGTCTGACAGAATCACTTTAACATATAAGTCGGAGTAATTCTAATTCTGAAAAACGAAAAAAGAACCCAGACCCCAAAGGTCTCACAGTGCTCCATAAACAGCATTAGGATATAAAGAAGTTGTGAAGCCATACAATAGAAGGAGAAAGGTTAAAGCACAACTGTACTGAACAATTTTTGAATTGCCGTCTTTGTCCAGGTCTCATCTGCAGTGTGTTTCCTGCTCTCTCCTGCTGCTTCCTACATTTCTGGAGCCACGTTGAAGGTCGATGCCGGACAAAGTTTGTATAAGTCCATGTGGGAGATACCGAGTACGTACAGCTCTCTAACACAACTGCACTGTAGTCTTCCCAGTATATGTTAGATTTAGTACGAGGAGCTAAATTCTTGTGTTTGTCTCCAGACCACAGTGCATGGCCTGAAGCTCCAGAGGGGGAGAACCTGGATGCTCTGAATGAACTGGTCGACCCATAAAGCAAACTCTGATTCACTCATGGGACGTGCGAGAGCACAAAATCCCCATAAACAGAAAGTCTGTATATGTAGTGTGTGACTGATTGTTAAGAATCTGCACATAATTGTATGTAATTAATAGCACTACAAGTGTCCAGAGGTAAAGATTTGTAACATTCCAGCTGCTGAAATGTACATATTGTTTTTCTTTCCAATGCTGTTGTCAGTAAGTTTATGAGCAAAATTTAATAAAACTGTAAAACAGAACAATATCATTTGTGGGTGTTTTTATTTATTTAACCTCTTCGTGTCTGTTTTGAACTCATTATCTCATAAAAGACTCTAAAAGATTCCTGATTACATTAAACAGATGGGAAATACTTTATATCATATTTAGCACTTCTTTTGTTACAGCAGTTGACAGAAATATGAAATTACATTAGTACTAACCAGTGTTGGTCAAGTTAATTGAAAAAAGTAATCAGTAACTAATTACTGATTAGTTACTGATGTGATTCTTGGACTGGCAGATATTTTGTACTATAGAGGGTTACAGCATGTGGTATCAAAGGTTTCCTGCATCTGTTCTTGGGGAATTGTGTTAAATGTACTTGAGAAACCAAAGAATGTGATCCCCATTACTATAAATGGGAGTAAGCTCTCGACAGCTTGTAGATGATTACAAACTGTTCTCGTAGTTTTGGCCTGTGTGCGTTTTAGTTTCGCTCTTACAGCAGGCGACAAAAAAGCAATATTTTCACCAGGAAAAGGGCGTTTGAAAATAACTTTTAGAGCAAATGCAAACAGAAAAACGCCTCTTGCTAACGTATTGCTTGCCTCCTCGTATGTGTGAAGTTGAAGTTTAATTGACATATTATCCACTAATTGGGGGATAATATGTGTTAATTATTTAAAGGTAGTTAATCGCTGTTAACTTTGTTCGAGGAAGTGAAAATAGCATTTTTGTGTCGTTTACAATTACAACATATATTACAGCAACCCCAGTAAAAAATACACACACACAAACACAATCATTATGAAGATCTGACAGCTTCTTCACGTTCTCTTTATACCTGAAAACACAGATAAATGGGCAGGTTTTTTAAAATGACAAAAAGCTGAGTTAAATCATATGTAATTCTCTTTCAAGAACAAATGGTACAGTGAAGGTTTGTTAGAGTTTTTTATTTTCTGCAATTAATGTGACCACCATTAAGTTTAACACGAGTCCTAAAATTAGATACATGAACCCAGTTGAACAAATGACAGACTTTAATTTATTTAGGAAAAAAGTCACTCATTGCATATCAGGAGAGAAAGTATGAAAGCCTGCACCATGTTTTAGTTTAAAGCACAGGGATCTGTCCAAGTCTGATATTCAAAACACTCAGAAATACACTGAGGCACAAATAAAGGACATTTCTGAGGACATCAGTAAAAGAGTATCTGATGCTCAGGCTTGAAAAAATGATGAAAGTCAGACTGTGCTAATACAGGAAATTCAGGACCAGTGTTACACTCTTTGGTGTGCGTGACCACCAAGGAGTCACCCTCATGTAGCTGCAATCATCACTACACATAGAATAGTCATTTGTGAAATGAGACACCCCAAAAGCCATCCACACTTCAATAATGTATATGAAATTAAATATGATTTCCAGCCTGCATCCTTATAAGAACCTAAATCTAAAACAATGAACCAAAAATATAAAATGACTAAAGATACTGAAGTAAAACAGTTTTGATCGTATAATTTAAGTACTTTCAAATAGAAAGTCACCATAGTCTTCAGATGTTTGTGTGTGCACGGTGGTCCTGCAAATAGAACCCCACCCAACCACCTGACGTCCCATAAAAAATACCCACGACTGTCACCTGTTTACTAAAGACTTGCTTGTTTGAGAAAAATGTTTCGTAGACCGAAGTGGAAGGTTTTGGGTAAATTACAAGAATCATGTAGAGCTACAGACATCACATTGTGAGCTGTCTGCTGACTCCCTCACCTGCTGTCATTGATGACCTCCTTCAGTCCCTTCAGAAGAGTTTCTGTATTAATGTCTAAAATGTTCAACACAATTCCTACACCTCTGCTGGCCATCCTCGCAGCGTTGTCTGGCTGGTCCCCGTTCAGTGGCACCATCAGCATGGGAACGGCGTGACACAGTCCCTCAAACAGACCATGTGAGCCAGCGTGAGTGATGAATGCACGGGCTCCTGGGTGAGCTAAGACACAAAACATGCAGAAATATCAGATGTTTTGATATGTGACACATCAGCGTGTTTCACATTTCAGGATGTGCTGCTGCAGACACACACCTAGCAGGTCATTCTGCGGGACCCATTTCATCATCTTCACATTTTCCGGGACATTGTCAGGAACCTTTCCAGTGTATCTCCATATGACCTGTCATAGTTTTATTGTAGATTAAGATTAGCTGTATTTATTTATAACACAAGATAAGCTGTATGCTGATATACCTTCTGTGGAATCTGTCTGAAGGCCTCCAGAAAGACAAAGGTGATTTCCTCTGGCAGATCTGACACCTTGGAGCCCAGAGTGAACACTACAAACCCGTGCTCTCCAGACACCCAGGAATCTAGATCCTGACAAAACACAAACTTGCTTAAGTACTTTGCATTTATCACTCTTACCTGATTGGTCTTACAGTCTTACGGTAAGTGGTGTCAATCAGAATGTTCATAAATGTATTTAGAGTCTAAAACTCATAAAGTCTTACTGGGGGCAGAGGATGTTTCACATTGCAATTGATTCCACCAACCAGTACAATATTGGGCATGAGTGGGCGTGGGAAATCCAGCGTGAAGTCATTCCTGTTTAAATACAGCAACAGTTTTTTG